TCAATACTTATTTGCTGATATCTACCAAAAACTATGAAATGCCAGTTTGTTTACCACAATATACAACTGAAAACTCAAAGATCCACCACAAATAGTTGAGTAAATTACAGTATACAGTACAGTTGTACAAAGCAACGAGGAAGATGGCTATAATCTCTTATAAAGTGATCTGCAGAATATATATTTAAGGTTGAAGACAGAAAGGAATGTACAAAGTAGTAGGAGCAAAAACATTATATATATAGATATATACATATAGTTATATTTTTAAAAATACTGTATATAGAACTCAAATTTGACTCTATTTGTCTAACTAAAAACACATATTCTCAGTAATTATTTAAAAATGAAAATGCAATTCTTTTATAAAACAACAAAAAATAAAACCCACATTAAGGTGTGGCCTTATGACAGTAAAGATTCTCTCAAGTGACTTTAAGCACAGTATTTTGACTTATAACCTAAAAGAGGGCACCAGCCAGATTTGGCACACATGCTGTAATCCCAGAACTCTGGGAGGCTGAGGCTGGGGATACGGCTCAGTTAGATTCAATCCCCAGTATCCCCGCTAAAACCCTCAAATTGCACTTTGCAGTTTTATGGTTAATATTAATGCTGCTTTATTTTACATGGGATATTTATATAAGTAACAATATCACTTAAAAAACAAGATACTCAGCATAAGAGACACATATAATACTGCCAAAGTAATCTATAGTAGTAAATTTAAAATATCACTATGTATTCATGACTTATTTTCCTCTTTTAGTAGGAAGACTGTTTTCCTACTGTTCCTAACTTTACTTACTGCAAAGGCCTAAAAGCAATGACAACTCAGTAGAAATGAATATCTAGCAAGAAATCACTGAAGACAAATGGGAGACAACAGGATAGTGTGTAAGAGAATCAGACAAAAGCACATATGAACTTAGTAATTCAAACTGGCTAAAGGTGGCACACTGTGAACATGGAAGAGTAACTCCTCCCCACCAAAACATTGAGCGTCGCCTCTTGTCTAGGGGTACTGCTCGGTGACACTTGTCTAGCATGCACAAGGCCCTCCTCGCTGCAATTACCAGCACCACAAAAACAAACATATAATTCTAATGATGGCAACTGATCACAAATATATAAAATACTGGATTTAGGCAATAATCAACAGCTGTTAGGGCCATTATGTAAAGGGGTATAAAACTTTGTATCAGATGAATCAGTCTTTCAAAACTGAACCTATGACTAGTTTTAGCATTAGCAAAAGGACACCCATGTACCTACTGAAATGACTGACAGGAACCTACAAGATGATTTGAACTATTCTTGCCAAAGAAAGTGAACTTGAATCTAACCAATCCACTAGATCCGTGCTAGTATGATAGCCACTAGATGTCTGTAGGTCTTCAAATTAATTAAAAACTTGCTTCTCTGACACTCTAGATACATTCCAAGTATAACAGCCCGAGGCTACTAAGGGGCAGCATAGATGTAAGACATTTCTATCACAGACTATAGTGCTGTCTTGCCATTGGTTTAACTCTCTGATTACAGGATACCCAAGGTGTAGATAGAAAAGTAAAATAAATGGAGAGAAAGAAAATTCAGTTACACATTTAAGGGATAAATAATAATAAAAAAAAATAAAATATATGTGCATCTTGTTTAGATCTTAACTTGAGCAATGTAATCTAATCATAAATGAGATGTTTTCAAGACTGGAGAAATTTAAACATGGATTAGATATAGAAAATCTATTAAGCTAGAAGGTATGAGCGAAGTTGAAACTCAACCGGTAAAGCGAAGGCAAGTGGTGAGCATCTGTAACTCTTCCCTATACTCCTACACTGTAAATTTTCTGTTCTAGGGTGAATGTCTCATTATGCCTGTCACCTCCTTTGCCTCTTATCTCACCCCTCAGTTTAGACTCCCCAACTCGTATAATTACCATTAAATCATCTTCAGTACCACCCCTCCCTTAGCCTAACATATCTGATCAGTCACACACTTCTACTATCTTGCCTTCATATTTTGGAACAAAATTCTCCATGTTTGTTTCTCTCAGCATCCCTACAAGGTTTGCATAGTTGCTCCTGCTGTTTATTCCCTTTTTAGCATGCATCAACAGTTCTTTGCTAGCAATGGCTGATAAATAGTTAAAATTTTTATTCCGGTATTTGGTTCTAGTATGTTAAACAAATCTTCATTCAATACTGCATACATTCTCCAGTCAGAAGAGTTTTTTCTTTTCTTCTTTGTGGTACTGGAAATTGGACCCAGGGCCTAGTGCATGCTGGGCAAGTGTTCTACCACACAGCTATATCCCTAGCTCTTTCTGAGACAGAGTCTCACAAACTTGCGCAGGCTGACCACAAACTTGCAGTCCTTCTGAACAGCTGGAATCACAGGTGTGCACCACTCCACCTGGCCCCAAGCTCACTTCTTATGAATAATTTAAAAATTCAATTTATCAGCTGTGTCAAATGAAGAGAAGGACATTTCTTAAGAAATCAAGAACATTTCTTCTGAGGATACAGAATTTTAAAGTGACAAACAAAACTTGGAAAAGATATGTAAGTAGGGTAAGGAAGAAACCTTGAGGGTTACCTGTCTTGTTCCGTCAGTCAAACCAATGCTAAATTAGAGCCAACAGTTAGTTTCCAGTCAACATGTTCACTTTATCTGTATGTTTAATCTCTTACGCTTTCCTTTTGAAAAACTTCACCCTGCCTCTTACGTATACATCCAACCAAACTGTCCTTTAGAGTAACAGGGAAAAAAAAACAACACAATGTAGTCTTAGGAGCAGACTAGCTTCAGAAAAGCCACAAAAAAAAAGTAAAAGTAGTCAAAAAAGTATAGACAAAGAAACAAATATGAAACTATTCCCCTGCCTTTTAAAAAGAGTTGTCTTAAAAGTGCTTAGGCAATTCTACCTTTTAAAATATTTCTCTCAAAAAGCAGAATGGTGGCAGAACACTTGCTCACTATGTCCAGGGCCCTGGGTTCCATCTCTGCCCCCACAACCGACCAACACAGTATGACTAGCTCTGAACCGTGTTCAGTATGGAATAAAATCCAAGTGAGTTGTTTACCAAGCACTTGCTTTTGCTGTAAATATAGGCTGCCCTACTGACACAATCCCATAAAGCTAAGGTTTCTTATGCCATTTAACAGTGAAATTGCTCATTGAGTATGCTGGAATCTAGATGTCAAAAACTATTAACCAAAGGTGCAAGGACAAGACAGATGAGCGTTGCAAAATAGATTACTTATACCTGTACACAGTGACCATGAAACTAGATACCTGATTGTGCTCAATTCTTCTTTGCTTGAGTGTTACTGGAGTCTTTGCTCTGCCCTTTAGTGGTTCTCTCTTCTCAAGCTTGAGCTCTATTTTAGAGTCTGGAAATAACATTGGAGAAACCATTACTCTCTGGAACAAAGAAGCTGTATTTTCCGTACATTATTTTGGAACCCTGGTTTTAGGCACATAAATACAAAAAAAGTGTGTCTATTGATAAGAACCTCAATAGATCACAATTATTTAACAACTTGTCTTAAAAACACTGACTTCGTTTATCTCCCTTGGTCTTTAATCTGATTGCCACTTCTCTCTACTTGCTCTGATTTCCTTTTTCTCTAACAGCTTTTAACATAGTGAATTCAGTGCACTCAATCAACTTTTCCCTAGACAGTTTCAATGTGGGGAAAGATACTAAGACAGTTACCATTGTTCTATCCACGTAGTACATCAGTACTACACAGTAAAGGCTGGCTTATTAAATTTGGCATGTAGAAGTGAAAAATCTAGAGAATTTTAAGAATGAAAAAGCCTGTCTGGTATCAAACCTCTACCAATAATAAACAGTAAATTCCAATATTAATACGCAAATGCAGCAGAAGTCTCTGGTACAGCATATGCTTAACATATGTGAGGCCCTAGGGTCCACTCTTCAGTCTCTTCTTTGATGCAGTTGTAGAAAGCCTGGACACAGCTCAATTGAGACAAGAAGGAATGCTATTCACAGGAAAGTACAACCAGTCACAGGTCACTTCTCTTCCTCTTCCCCATAATAACATTTCTTTGAAGATAAGCCAGTACTTTACTGCATTACTCAGCTTATCAGCGTGACAGTCATTAACCCAACAACAGAAAGATACGTATTTTTAATTCACCTCAATATTCCATGTTTCTATTTGATTTTGTTACCATTTGAATATCTGGATTTTTTAAAACACTGATAAAATGTTTAACATTCCCTCTGTGGTGGCCATTTATCACAGTGTAGCAAAATTAGTAAGACCATTATTACTTCTAGATCTTCTACTACCAAAAATTTAAGTAAGATTACTTTTTCATACACACACACACACACAAAAAAAAAACTAGAGTCAATTCCTAAAGAAACCTTTAGCTTTGCATGAATTCAAGGTAAACAAGCTAAAAAAAAAGTGATCAAGGCAGCTATGCACTTTTCCAACTTTTCAGTCTGATAGTAGTCAGCAAAGAATCTACTTGCAGTTCCTAACCCCCAAAGTGATTTTTACTAAGTTGGTTCAAACAGTTGTTCGAACAGTTGGATCCTTATTTAGTACTAAGCTACCAACTCCACCCCACCCCCATATCCCAACAATTCTATCAATGTATCTATGTTTGGGACAACCCTTAGCATGATAAAAATCTACTTTTATGCTTTAATTTAGAATCTAACAAAGCATGAAGTAAAAAAATGTATCAGCCAAAGACAAATTGATTAGACAAATTAGGTTATCTGGTTGAAATTAATTCCTTGTATGAAGTTAGACTAACAGCCAATAAAAACACAGTCCTCAAATAGAAGAAAAACTACTCAAAAGTAATCAGCACATTTTTAGTTATACCATGAATGTCAAGCAAGTTGCAATGATGAAATGGAAAAGGAATGTTCATCTACAAATGTTCAATTTGTTGCAACTCCAAGAATAAAGCACACATACAACATGTTTCTGGAGACCACACAAAACTGTTGAAATTTAACAACTTTATTGAATTTGTAGAAGCATTCTACAGGAATACATTTTAAAAATCACACAGCACTTAGTAGGTACATGTACACATGTACATTGCAGAAGACAGTAACAAATAAAATTACTTCCAAAAAGCTGCAAAGATGGAAGGTGTAGTCAATGGTAATGGCTAGAAGTATGCGAGGGACCATATTTGGTTATGCTTAAGACTATTTTCCACAATGTCTCTGCTACAGACTCTCTTGCCTTACAATCATAGAAATGAAAACAGTATAATACATTGCTTTATACAAACATAGACACTCAGATATGGTATGATTTAAGGCTTTAATACAAAAAAAGGACAGAAATTTGCTCTCAGCATCTAGACTGTTGATCTAAATCCCCATGAAATATAACATACCTTGAAAGGAAAAGAAAGAGGCCCCACCTTTTCAGTGTCTAGCTCACCTAACAAAGCATAACAGTGAGTGAGCATGCGCAGAGAATCTACCACCCAGAGCAGTGCTCCTCAGTGTGGTCCTCGGACTGGTATAGTCTGCTAACTGTTAACTACCTATCCTAGAAGAGAAAAGGCCCCTGCATCCAGATGTAAACCCGTACACTGTCTTCACTAACAGTAAAGTTCACTACAAAAATAAACCCTGGCATTGGCCTAAAAAAAGTACCTCTAGGTTTAAATTCCTTTATTTTATTAAAAAAAATTGGGGAGGGAGGGATTGAACATGTTCCTCTCACATGCTAAGCACATGCTCTTAACCACTGAGCGACACCCTCAACCCCTCAGATTTCAGCTCTTGTGCATGACTGTCTGTGGACCAGCAATAGTTTGTGGACTAGCAGTTTTCTTTATCTAGGGTATCATAATGTTCCATACACGAGTAAGCAACAAACAAAAGCAAGAAGGTCCGAGCAAACAAAGTGTGGACAAGGTCTAGAACGTGAAGATACTTAAGATGTGAGCACCAAAAAAGAGAAAAAAGCATTATTTTGAATATGTGTTTATTTCTATCCTAGGTATAACAGAACATGCATATGATACTATAAAAAGTGCAGACTACTTATATTTTAGTTAGTGGAATATGCTTAGTTTTGAAGAGTTGTGAAAGTGTAAGTAAGGAGAAAACAGTGAGACAAATATGTGAGCTATTAAGCTTATGTTTGCAAAAACCTATCAAAAAAAAGGAGAAAGGAAAAATAGAGCAATTCTACATAGGGAATAACTTTTCTGCTATAATGAGTAGAAGTTTAACAATTAGAAATCAGCCCAATATGGAGACCAAAATGACCTTAAAGGTACCTGAGACTCATAAAAAAGCTCCTAAGTTTTCCATATCAAAAATAAGACAGCTGTCTTTGCTCTTAACCACATTACTGTTTATTCCCACGCTTTTTAACTGTTGTGTGCACTTCTCCTCCGAATAAAGTGCCACCTTTGAAGGGAGCAGCAGTCAGCTTACTCTTAGAAGCTGGACTAAGTTTGCAGTCCTTCAACCAGAGATGCCGGCGGCCAGCAGTGGAAGATGCCATGGTACAGCCAGCCATCTTCACTTCATCAAATGCAGCTTCACAGAGAAACGAAGCTGCATCATACGTTCTCCTTAGAATCTCAAGTGCCTGGGGTACCTGACTAGGATCTGAGCTAAGAATCTGCGCAGCCTGACTGATGTCTGCCTGCATGGCCTTGGCTACAAAGGCAGTGTGGGTGGCAGTCTGCAGCGCTGATGCTGCAGCTTCGTATGTTCTGCAGAGCGCTAAGTCCAAATGTTTATCGCAGGACTCAGCGGAGGCTGGCTGAATACCTGCTGGTGGAGTGGCTTCAGAAATAAACCCCAGGATTTCATCATCTACTTTGGGAACTGATAATATTCGCGTTGCCTCTCTGGAAGAAACTGGATACTTGCATGCCAGTGAAGGTAGTTGTCTGTCAATTTGCTGCCACTCCTCTTCAACTGCTTTTAAAATAGATTCGTGGAAAGGAAAAGACAGTTCTGAGGCACCTGTTTTATCATGCTGCGACTGCTTAGACATTTCTATGCCTAAGGTAGTAAGTGCACGAGAGACAACCATTTTGGCAGAAGCAGACATCTGTGCAGATCCAGGACTACTCTGAGATGCCACAAACAAACCTGGATCCCTTTCCTCTACTGCCTTCTCACTGAGTCTAGGGAGTTTTCGTGGAGGAGACAGGGATTCCGTTTCTTGAAATTTAGATGGATCAATTCTCTTACATATTTTTTCTATATCCAGTGTGGGTACAGAGTTAGAAGTCCCAGGCAAACTGCTTGCCCCACCCTGGACTAACAGAGAATTGACATAATCTCTGATTGCCTGAGCAAGTGGCGGAGAAAGTACTTGCGATCTCCTACACTCCTCTAGTATTTCCCTTTCGCTGGACAGAATTGACTGATCTGAAATATTGGCCTTTTCAGTACATAATGGCTGAATTCCACTTTTTCCTCCATGGTAAATATTTTCCACTATGTCTTTACAGTAAGTAGTAGTGGTTTCTTTAATCACTGAAGGAGAAGCTGCAGTAGAGACCATGGCAGTGAGTTCATGCTGAGAAGATGACGAAGGACTTCTCTCTAAACAACTGTCATGGCTAGACTTGGAGGAAGTAAACAAACTCCCTCCACGGGCTAACTTCTGCATCTGTCCCTTGCCAGGCAAGGTTGTGGTCTTAAGAGGTTCCCTAGGTGGGTCTCCCTTAGGAGTATGTACTTTCTTAGCTGCCTGTAGTTCAGTCCTGCCCAAAGGAGGACGGGTGGAAATTTCAGGAAAAGAAATACCCTGAAAAAATCCACCAGAGGGAGTAGTTGGAAGTTCAGAAAAAGCAACAAAATCCCTAGTGGACTTCACTTTCTTGTGTTCTTTCTTCTTTCCTGTAGAGGCAAAAGAGGCAGGAAGTTTAAGTATTACTTGTGTTTGCGCTAACTTTATTCTTTGCCTCCTTGCTAAAATAGTGCTGTTGAAAAAAAAGACTACACTTCATTCCCTGAACAACCATTTTGGAAGTTGCTTATGGAGGTATAAGCAATTTGGGTCAAATTAGTCACAAAATTAACAAATCATACACAAATGAAGAGCTTAAAAGTATCAAATTACATTGATAATATTAAGAGGACAGTTACTGCATGTATTAGCCTCAAAAACTAATATGTAAACTAATCATGGTCTAATTTTCCTAAAACAGTATATAAAATTATGGTCAAAATATTTGCTTTAACGTTGCTGTGAAATCTGATTATCTGGCAAAGACTGTAAACAATTTAAATGGCTATCAACAGAGAAAATATGGCATACTCCAATACTATCACTATGTATCAAGTATAAGGAATAAAGAGATACATGTATGACAATAGGAATAGATCTAAAAATATAACATGGACTAAAAACAAATATTAGCATAGTATTTATATAGTTTTTTTAAAGTACAAACTAATACCATGTATAGATGAGTACATAAAAGCAAACTTGGAAGATCACTCAAGTGTTATGAACAAAAATAACATGTATCTTGTCAATATTGTTTTCAATTTTACCCTCTTCATGGTCACTGTATCTTATGAGTCTGAAAAAATTACATGTATTTGAGTAACATCAGCTTAAATTTTACCTTCCTCGTTGTCACTGTATCTGTCAGAGTCGTTACTTCCATTCTGCCTTGTATTTTCTGAAGAAGAAATGGTTGGTAAAGGAGTAGAAGATCTTGATTCTGTTCCTTGTTCTCTCAGTTTCAGCAGCTTTTTCTCATAAAGCTTCCTGGTTGTTCCTGTATGAAAGCAAAACTTGCTTCAGTACTTGCATTTTTTTTTTTTTAAGATCCAGGTCAGAAACTATCTTAAGAAGCATCACAGCCAGGTGTGGTGGTGCCTGCCTATTAATAATGTGAACAGTTCAGGAGGCTGAGGCAGGAAAACCCCAAACTCGAGGCCTGCCTGGGTAACAGCAATATGCTGTCTCGAAAAATAAGAATTGGAGACACAGCTCAGTGCTGAGGCCATGGCTTCAATCTCTAGTAACACACATAAGCATCATATGCTTACCCTTTCCTTTTTTTAAACTTACATGCTTAAAAATAATAGATAATGTACTTTTTTTCTAAAACAGGTATTTTCCTGGGACTTTAGTACAAGATTACAATATGTCTTTTATTTCGTTTATTTGCTTATTTTTTGGGTGCTGGGGGTCAAACCCAAGTCCTTGCCCATGCTAGACAGGTGCTCTACCACTAACCTACACCTGCAACTGCCTGGTGTTTCTTTTAGGTAAGATGGAATACACAGCAGGTGTTAACTGGAGATTATCTACTTAAGAACCATATGTGACTATTTTTTCTTCAAGTCTTGAACTTTGTATATTTTTTCCAATAACTACATAAAAATACTTGCTAATGCAGAAAAATCTTTTTTATAACAGATTGTATTCTCTGAAGACTGTGATTCACACCCCACAGTACTAAGACACTAATGTGCCTATAAGTTGCCAGTTATGAGGAAATGTTTTATAAGTCACACTTAAATAGGTTTTATTTTGCTTTACACTAGCTGTGTATCTTAATTTCTGCAACATAAGTAAAATGAGACTGGATGCCTTTTACAAACACATATTTAGAAATGTTACATAAGTAGTCTTTTTTTGGTTGCTGTTGTTTTTTTGGTTTTTTTTTCTAGTACCGGGAATCGAACTCACAACCTTGCACTTTCCAGGCAGGCGTTGTACCGCTGAGCTAAATCCCCATCCCCTAACACAAGTAGTCTTAAGATGAACAGCTCATATAACATGTAATATAGTGTATGTTTCAATGTCTTTTAGAATTTTAAATACAAAATTTAATAAAGGTATCAAATGTCTATTGGTAATCATATTCATGAACTTACCTATCAATTTAAATCCTATGTCACTATATCCTCAAACTGCCAAATCTTCAGTGTTCAAAATGTTACAACTTGGAAGATTTTCTTGGTACTGGGAATTGAACTCAGGACCTTGCACTTGCCAGTCAGGCGCTGTGCTTTGCTGCTGTGCTATCTCCCTGGCCCCAACTTGAAAGATTAAAATAGATTTTTCTACTCTTGAAGTTACTGCCAAGACCCCTCAAACACTAAGGCAGAATCAACCTTGCAAATCATCACCACTTAACCATAATCCATGATGGAAATCTAGTGTATTTGGCTCTAAGTTCTTTCTTTGCAATTTATTCTTTAAAGTATCTTTTTTTTTTTAGAGCATCATTCTTGAAACCCAGTCAAGACATAACTCACCATAAGACACCTTTAACGATTACTGGAAAAGAATACCATGGGAAAATTTAATAACTTGAGTTATATAATCAGCCTATCCCTAACAATTACTGTAATTGGGGTGAATTGGCCAGTTTTGTTAATTTAGCTTTTTCTCAAATGCCATAAAAGACCCACACGGTCTTACCATGTAGTATGTGATATGTGCAACTTATAGTCTCAAAAACAGGTAATTTTAGGGGAAAACATCTAATTCTGTAATTTTATTTCCATCATTTAGAAGCAAGAACCTAGCGTCTAGGTCATATAAATAGTAAATGGCAGCTAGGCCCTTAAAAGCCAAATTGTAACCACTACACAAGAGGCAAAAACAACCTGGGGCCTTGCTTCATATGTAAAGTATTTAAATTTTTATCAACATACCCACAATAGGACCAGGATTCACTCCATATCTCACAAGCTGATCCAGAAGGTCTTCATTAGAGAGCTCTGTTACATCGAGGTCATCTTTGTCTTCTATTCTTGGTTTATCAGTTTTCTTTGTGGCTTTCTGTAAACAAAGTCCAATTATCACCTCCACATAAATTTAAAAGTACTCATATATAGTACCAAATAAGACCATGTAAAACAAACACACAACTGTGCTTACAAGTTGATGTATGGTCCAAAGCAATTTGATTAAATTAGAAGCAACTCATTATTTGGAGACATTTTTAACTAGGCTGTACAAACCTAATGAAAAAGTAAATTAAAGGTTATAGACATTACTATTAAAATAGTCGATTCTGAATTACTTATCTAAAGAAGCAGTAATGGCATCAAAACCGTATATTTATTTATTTACTGTGTTTTTTATTTTGTTTTTTGTTTTTTTTTTGTTTTTTTGTTTTTTTTCCGGTACCGGGAACCAAACTCACGACCTTGCGCTTGCCAGGCAGGCGCTTTGCCACTGAGCTAAATCCCCAGCCCCTTTTACTGTGTTTTTTAATACTTCATTTCTTAAAGCATTTAACTCCTGACGGCAAATGAGATAGAACATGGAAGTTGCAAAGTGAAGCTAGGATGAATCTAAACATTTTCATCTCAGTTTACTATTGACCCCTTTTGATAATCCTTAAAATTTAAACTAATCAGAACAATTTAAGACTTACTTTACCATGAAGGCTTGTATACTTATATATAGAATTATTTACCTTAAACAGCATATCATAATTTAAGAAACCCAAAATTATTTTCTTTGCAATTTAGACATTTTGGTAGCCAGTCTATGACCTATGAAGGAAGTCTGACATGGTTACGGTATAATATATCACCTCTGACATAGCTGTCCTCTATACGAGCGTTTTGCTAAAACAGTTGAAAGAACATGGCACAAACTTTAAGGTCAGCGTCAAAAAAGTTTCTGAAATAATCTGAGTAATAAGCGGTACTCACTAAAGAAAACTATATGAATTTTGTGAGGAACATTCCTACAGTCCCAGCTACTTGCGAGGTTAAGACAGGAGGACCACAAATCTAAAGTCAGCCTGGGAAACTTGGCAAGACCCTGTCTCAAAATAAAATAGTAAAGCCCTGAGGATATAGCTCAGTAGTAGAGTGCTTGCTAGCTAGCAGGGCCAGGTCCCTAGGTTTGATCTCCAGCACTAAGAAACAAAAACAAAAAACTGTAAATTTCCAAAGTTAAATAGGTGAAGGCAGGCAAATTGTATGTACTTTGGGGCCAGGGATATAGCTTAGTGCTTAGTGTTACAAGCGCTGCCTTGCAAAAGGTCCTGAGTTCAATTCCCAGTACCCCCCCCCCCAAAGTATATATACCTTGTAAGACTGTAGTGAGCACCATTAATAAACGTCCCAGTAATCTCAGAAAACACTATGGTACTAAAAAAGTAATTGTTTAAATAATGGCCAAGCCGGGTGTGGTAGTGCAGGGCTGTAATCCCAGCACTTGAGAGGCTGAGGCACGAGGATCCTTGTGAGTTCAAGACCAGCCTGGGCTACAAAGTGAGCTCCAGGCCTGCCTGAACTGCATAGCGAGACCCTGTCTCAAAAAAGCCAAGAAAGGAAAGAAAGGAAAGAAAGGAAAGAAAGGAAAGAAAGGAAAGAAAGGAAAGAAAGAAAGAAAGACAGAAAGAAAGACAGAAAGAAAGACAGAAAGACAGACAGAAAGACAGAAAGAAAGAAAGACAGAAAGACAGACAGACAGAAAGACAGACAGAAAGACAGAAAGGAAGAAAGGAAGGAAGGAAGGAAGGAAGGAAGGAAGGAAGGAAGAAAGGACGGACGGACGGACGGACAGGGAAGGCAGGCAGGCAGGCAGGCAGGCAGGCAGGCAGGCCAGCCAGCCAAAAGCATTTATGGAAGTTCATTTAGCTTTGACTTACTATTTAAGGCAAGAGTGTTAGTGTGGCACCCCAGGTATGTTTTACCAAAATGGCTAACATTATATAAAGTTGTGCGAACCGATTACTTTTCAATTAGTTTTGGGTTTCCAAAAAGGCATTATTTAATCATATATATTATTTTATTTTATTGGTATGTACTTCAGGCTGGGCTTGAACCCACTATGTAGCCCAGGCTAACCTCAAACTTAAAACGATCCTCCTCCTTCAGCTTCCTGAGTGCTGGGATTATAGGCACCCATTGTCTCTCCACGTTTTCACTTTTTAAATTTTTTTTTTTTGTACTGGGAATCGAACTCAGGACCTTGCGCTTGCCAGGCAGGCGCTTATGCCACCGAGCTATATCCCTGGCCGCTACCCCCCCTCCATGTTTTTAATAAAAAAAAAAAATTTGAAGCAGGGGTTTTTATAAATACTTCAGAGATAGAATGCTTGTCTAGTGTGTGTAGTACACACAAGACTGGGTTGGATTCCTAGCACAACAAAAAAAACAAATCAAAAACTTTCATAAAGCAAGGTTAGGAGGGGCTGGGGCTATAGCTCAGCAGCACAGTGCCTGCCTGGCAAGTATGAGGCCCTGAGTTCAATTCCCAGTACCACCCCCCCCCACCCCTCCAGCCAGCCCAAAAGATTATGAGGCTTTTTTTTTGGTTGTTTTTTGAGACAAGGTCTTGCTACATGTCCAGGCTGGCCTTAAATTCACTATGCAGCCCCGACTGGTCTCCAACTCCAACAACTTTCCTGAGTACATGTAAGTGCTAGGATTACATTTGTGTGCCACCATGCCCAGCAAGACATTCTTTAAAATAGCTGCTAATAATAACAAAGTCAATTCATAAGTCTTTTCATAAAAAGATGGTTGTGAAAAGTTCTTTGAAGTACTTTCAGAAAGCTCTGGTATACGTACATATGGTACTGATTGAGTCACATGAGGCTCAAATCTTTTCTTCTCCCAATACTGGGGATTCAACTGAGGGCTTTTGCGCTGAACTACACCCTCATCCTTTTTTCATTTTAGACAGGCTTGTCTAAATTGCCAGGCTGGGCTTGAATTTGTAACCCTCCAGCCTCAGTCTCCCAGAGTCCTGGGATTACAAGAAAGTGCCATCGTGTCCAGCTAAGGCTTAAATCTTGAAGCAACCCACACTTTGATACCAAAATAGTTACCTTGAATCTAACAATTCTATAGTTAAAAGCCCTGAATTCTTTAGAAAAAAACACTTAAACAGACCTAATCTTACATGAGTAACTCTACTTTTCCCCCCAAAAGTATAGCTAAGTTGTGCAGAAAAATTACATTACATAATGAAAATACTTCAAACAATAAAAAAAATCAGGCTAAAATTACTTTTAGATAAATCTCTCCTGTGATAAGAACATTCAACTTTTACTAGAAAGAAAGCACCCAGGAATTCCAAGGCCTTAAAGTCTGAAGAAACCTATCTCTAACATCTAGCATCCCATCTATCTTTATGAGTTACTTGTATGCGTGCTTTATTTTCTCCAACTGGTGAACTCCTTACACATTAACTCCCAAGTCTGGCTTCTTATCAAAACCTCAAGTCTGGGGGCTGGGGATTAGCTCGGTGGCACAGCGCCTGCCTGGTAAGTGCAAGGTCGTGAGTTCGATTCCCGGTACCGGAAAAAAAACAAAACCTCAAGTCTTTTGCTAGTTACCTCTATTTTAAAATGCTTCCTCCCATTCTGAGTCTTAATCTTGGGCCTGAGAATCTATTTTTGTTGTACAGCCAGCACTAGAACATACATGCAAGCACTATTCGGGTATTTAAAGCACCTTAAAAGAGTGCCTGACACAGGAACAGCATCTGACGTCAAATGAATGAATGAAAAATAACTCACTCATCCAGCTTCCTCACATTTTCTTAAAACATAATGAAGAAACTTCAGCTAAATGAAGAAATTTTATGCAGTGAACTTGCACAAGATAACTAAGTTGAAGAGAGATTTGTAACAGGCTGATTTTAAATTTTAACCTGCAGAGAGAAAAGTTCTGAAAAGAAGTAATGCCACTTCATAAACACCAAGTTTATGAAGAAGAAAAGTTGGGCAGCAGGCGGTTTGCGTACATATGATTAAAGCAGCAGTTTCAACCATGAAGGAAACAATGCTAACTTTGTCTTCAAATGGCTTTGTTCCTTTAGGAAAACCACTTCTACATGGACAGCTTCTTCCAAGATGCTAGATGATCTCTATTTTTTCAATTTAAAAATCCAACGTTTGTATTAGTTTATCATAGTAATAACTACTAGTCTAAAATAGATTCTACTGCACATACATTATATGCTGAATTGGGTTCTAAGTGCCCTCTATTATTAACTTAGAGAAAAAAAACCTAGTAAGACTAATCCTACAAAGTGAAGCAACAGGTCTAAAGGCTCCAAGGCCAACTCAGGAAACCTGCATACTACACCACACACTAACATCTGAACAGGCCGTATATATCACTTTCACATATTTACTCCATCCTTTCTGAAAACTATTATTATGGTAATTTTGCATTGTAATGTCACAGCACTAAAAACAGAAAAATTCAGAACCCTTGTTCTCTAAATGGCTATCAATTATTGTACTGAGCACCAGGCATTTCACTTACCCAACTTCATGCAATCAATCCTCAATCTGATTAAGTAGCTATTAGATTATTCCTCAATTCATGTGAAAATGGAGATCTGAGAAGCAATCAGTGTTCACTGTTAGAGGTCTGCTGAGTTAAGCAGCAGACCTGGAATCTTTCAGATTCAGAGTTGCACAATTTAAAACTATATAATAGAGTATGGTGGTCAATTTATGATTTAATTAACACTCCTCACTGCTGGCATTTTTAAATTATTCTGTCCCAAGTCTTTAATCGTTTCTGTTAAGAATTCATAACCTGGGCTGGAGATGTGTGTTAAGCATGTTCTTAGCATGTACAAGGTCCTGGGTCCATAATCCCCAACATGAAACAAAACAAACAAACCCACCCACCACAATCTCTCCTAGATCATCTAGGAATGTTGCTACGCTCTAATGGCTCCTTAATAGCTAACCACACCTTCATGCTTTGCACTTTGGAACAAAAAGGCAGATTGCCAACTCTGTAAATGTGTATTCTTATGTCCCTATCTAGATTATTTCAACACCTAAAACTACCAGTACCAAAATACATAAAATAAAGCTTAAAAATAAAGAAACAAAAGCAAAATTTAAAATTTAGAACACAAAATTTAAAATTTTTGTAATACCACAACAATCGAATCTAAGAAAAGACACTATGATGGTGGCAAGTATGAAGTAATTCCTCTTTTAATTGAAAATATTCCTCAAAAACCCATGATAAATAGAAGGGATAGGTTAAATATTAAATCTTGGTCAAATACACATTAGTATTTGTTTCAAAATGTTGAAATTCACCTCTTAAAAAAAATTTACTATCAGCAGGTATGATGGCGCATACCTTAGCTGAGAGGCTGAGGCAGGAAGATGGTCAAGTTTGAGGCCAGCCTTGGCAGTTTAACAGTGACATAGGAGACCCTGTCTAAAAAACAAAAATAAAGACGGCTAAGGCTATAGCTCACTGGGATCCCCAGTACAAAATAAATAAATAAAAATTTAAAATCTGCCATATCTAGCCGGGTGTGGTGGCACAAGCCTGTAATCCCTGCACTCAGGAGGCTGAGGTAGGAGGATCATTGTGAGTTCAAGGCCACCATGGGCTGGCTACATAGTGAACTCAGGGCCAGCCTGCACTCCACAGTGAGACCCTGTCGCAAAATCAAATCAAACCAAACCAAACCAAACCAAACCCTGCCATATTTGTAACTCTTAAACATAAATGCTAAACTGTGACATCATTTAAGAAATGTGACCTATGGTTATCTTATATGGGACTAAAAATGACTAAAACACAAAACTTGGTACATATAAAAATAATGTGGCATGCAGGACAATATTATACCAATTATAGTAAATGTTCTTGGTTCACATAAATTCAAAGCATCTTTTCCTATGATTAATAAAAATGTCTATTCAGGCTCCTAAGTTTTAACTCACTTTCACCTTAGTACAGTATTTTAAAACAGAAAGTTTAAAAAAAAAACTGAAAGTGACACCACAGATTGGTGACTAAGGCTAACTTTTTCAAGTTGTAAGTAATCACCGAGTCCAGCCAATGGTAAATGTTTTTAAGTTTTAAATACTCAAGATGGGAAAGCAGATATCTTCAGTTGTAAACTACTGTAATTCTCCACGTGACTCTGAACATTAAGGGAAACCAGGCATGGTGGCAACAAGTCCCAGCTACTTGGAAGACAAGGCAGGAGGATCACTTTAGCAGTGAGTTCAAATCAGCGGGAACAGCAAGAAACCCTCTCAAAAAAAAAGAAAAAAGAAAAAAGAAAAAGAATGAATGAGATACTAAGTGTCTAGTATGCCACCCAACATTCAGACACAGTAAGTACTCTCTTAATTTTGAAAGGGTGTTAGCGAACAAACCAAGACTTCAGGCGAGCTAAACTACAGACCCAGGCCCATTGGAAATACTCTTAAACAAACAAACAAACAAAGCTAGAGAGTGGTGGCACAGGCCCATAGTCCCTGTACTTGGGGAGCTGAGGCAGAAGGATCATTGTGAGTTTGAGGCCAGCATGACTGCATAGCCAGACACTGTTTCAAAAAAAAAAAAAAAAAGGTAAATTCTTTCAGACAAAACTGAGTTAGGGTGAGATAAGAAGAAACAGCTATGAAACAGATACGATGAAATACCACAAATTTAAATTTTATAAGCCAAGAAATTAAATTATCAGTGAAGTATACAGAAATCAATCTTCTGTAGAAAAGAACACATATTAGGAACTCAAAAATGAAGGACAATCAAATTGAGATTTATAATTTTTACATACCTTTAAAAACTTACAGTGTAACACATTTGCACAAAAGACCATAGGGTTCTACAAGCAACTACTGGGGCTTCTTTAAACCCACATATTGACACAGGCGTGGTGGAACACGCCTGTAATCCCAGAACTAGGGAGGCTGCGGCAGGAGTATCGTTTCGAGTTCGAGGCTAGCCTGGAGTACAAAGTGAGCTCAAGGCCAGCCTGAAGTGCATAGCGAGACCCTGTCTCAAAAATAAAATAAAATAAAATAAAATAAAATAAAATAAAATAAACCCACAAATAGCAGACATCAGAAACAGTAAGGTGTAGGAGGAAGAAAAGAGCGAGCCCGATGGCCCACGCCTGTAATCCCAGCACTCAAGAGGCTGGGGATCTCTGTGAGTTTAAGAGCAGCCTGGGCTACATAAATGAGTTCAAGAACAGCCTGAACTACACAGTGAGACCCTGTCTCAGACAAACAAACCAAAAAAAACCCCCCCAACAACAAGAAGAAAAAAGTAAAGTGTGGAAGCTCTCTTACTTATTGAACAAATATTTATCAGACTACTATGTACCAGACACCGACTTGAAACATTTATAAGATTGTCGAAGTTTCTCTACAGCCAAGGCTGAGTTTTCAATTCAATTACCGATGTTGACGGGGGATGTAGCATAGCGGCAGAGCACCTGCTTAGCATGTGCAGGGTCCTAAGCTGACTCCCAGCAGCCCCCTCAATTTGTACGTATCTATTCCATGCCTTTCATTTCCACCTGAAGGGTCAGGGAAACACATCAGGCAATTTTTAAAAATTAAACAACCGAGAATGCTGCAAAGCTCTGGAAGGTGCAACAGGTTGGGGTTTAGCTCAGTAGGGGAGCGCGCCAGGCCGCCCAAAAACACCCAAGAGAAAGGGAGAAAAAGAAAAAAAAAGGAATTCGGAGGTATATATTGCACTAGTCATCATCAGCAGCAGCAACACTACATTCACCACCTCTCACAAAACAATGTTACACCAATCAATAGTTTCTAACTATACTGCACTATGACGTAGGTCCCCCAAGTACAGGCAGATACAAAGTAGCAGTTCAAATTTACCCGGATTTAACTACACTGCACTATCATGTAGGTCCCCCAAGTACAGGCAGATACAAAGTAGCAGTTCAAATTCACCCGGAGAACAAAAAGTAAGCCATCAACCATCTGTTGGAGCCAATCTGAACTTTAACCGGGATCACATTTCAAATTGTAATAATGACACATTAGAGTACCGTAAACATTTTCCTTGATTCTCAATCTTTGCTTCCTTGAGCAAAATTCAAGGAAAGGGGTGAGGGGACAATCACCAACCCAATGGGTCTAGGAGCGCTTTAAAACGTATTTTAAACGTTCATTTCAATTTAAAGGTAAAGCTTCCCCGCCCAAAAACTGCCTATGCTGGAAAAGAACACAATCAAAACACCAACGGTTCAAAGAGCCCTCCCTATACGAAAAAAAAAAAAATTTAATTAAAAAAGGCGGGAATTTCTTTATTTCAAATTCTGGCTGGAAGCGAGCGCGTCACCAGCTGCCCTCCAGGGAGCGCTCTGGGACTCCGCCGCGAGTCACCCCGTTACGAAAGCGGGAAAACGCTCGGGCTGAACCTATAGCGTCCGAGGCTCGGCCGTCCCGAGCTTTTTGAACGGGACACGGCGGTCCGCGCCGCCGGCCGGGACTCGCGCCGCCCG